AATTAAATCGCATATACATAATTAGGTTAATAGTAGACTAAAATTTAATTCTTTCTTAATAAACTAAAAACAACTAGAATTAGGGTTTCTCTTGAATTTTAATTTTCTTTATTTCATAAATACAAAAACCATCAAAAAAACATTTCTTTTCTTTAATTTAATAATTAATTAACTTTTCATTCAATTTAATTCCAAAAGGGTCCAACGCCCTCGCTTCCAATGTTAATTCCAATTCGCGCATTTTATTTTATTTCGTATAATATTAATGTAATTCTCCCAAAGCCGTGTAATTTTATATTTCTCGCATTTTATTTCTTTACTTTCCGTCAAATCGGGTCCTGGATTTTAATTTTGGCGATGTGGACCCGCGCCTTTTGTAATAGCTTAGAATCTTTTACTTTTCGCAATTTTTAACTGCTAAATCAATGCATGCAAGAATGAATGATTAAATAAAAACAAACGCTTAGATCGCTCATGACATGACAAGACAAAAATAAATGAATCTGACACACGAATCACACACCACCCCTAGGGTACGCTTCACTGTTGCCTTGCCTCGAAAGGTGATCGTCGAGTAGAGGATGTCTTAGTAAGTCCTCATGATCCGGGAACCTGGCATGAGGGTAGCTTCTAAGGTGTCTTCCCATTGCTCCGGTGATCACCATGTCCCGAACCTCGAATTGACCCGAATACCTCCAATGGTGGTGCTACCTACCTCTCAATGGTGGGATGGCATTACTTTAAAAGGACATTTACACAGACGAATTCCTTAGGGTAGGTAGACGACTCTAGATACTTGCTTTAAATTCAAAACATATTCAAAAATACTTTTCACACCAACACATTTTCAAAAAGCTTTCGAAAGCAATTTTTCAAACACTCTTGAGGACCGATACAAGAGTCGAACTGAAATTTTCAAAAAAACTTTTTAAAACCCACAGTTGAAAAGCAAACCATTTTTGAAAACACAATGAGCAAGTATCTAAGAGCCCATGGATAACCATGGATAGAAAGGGTGCTAACACCTTCCATTTCTATAACCTACCTCCCGAACCGAGAGCGATCTCTATAAGAAATTTTTCTGTGCTTTTGTCCTGTCCATGTTGGAGAAAATAAAAGACGGTGGCGACTCTTGCTTCCGCGACATTTCGCGAACCAGCGTTAAACAGTCAGTTCCAGATCCACCGATCACAACCCCCATAAAAGATGTTGGCATCCCATAAGAGGAATTTCTGTGTCTGTTAGCATCGAACCCGAGTGGTCTAGTTAGTGGGGTGGCGAAATGGGTTTGTGTCCCTTATGGTGGGACGAATCCCCCAGGATAACAAATGGTTCCTGTATTGCCTAGGATCGAACTGTTAGTCGTCATGCCACTTGTTCCATTCGTGGCTATACTACTGGTAGAAGATGCAACAGACTGTGCGTTCGAAGGGATCGTATTAGATGTTCATGTCGAAGCGGACATATTAGTGCCTGTTGTTTGTGGGATATTTTGTTCCCCTTGTTGATTGTCTGGATTAGACATCTTGTTTAAACGTTTTCTTCTGGGTAAGGGTTGGTTGCTATTGGTTATTCTACCACTTCTAAGGTTCATAAAACAACGAACTTATCACTCAGAAAGTACTTTTACAATGGTTATGTCTCAACAATCTTTACTTTGTTCTAAATTTCGTGATGACCAATGACGGTCCCACCGGGTGTGCCAATTTGTTTACAGTGATTTCTGGTAAACAACCGCTAGTCCTCCAAACTATCAAATAATCTTAATGACTGTTATTTAATCTCTCTGGTAACTTGCAGGATCGACTAGATTGATCCTATGGTGTATTGGTCGTTTGGATAATTCTCATTGTAGAACTGATATTCATGGTTGGTACTTAGAATGTTGTGTAGGCGTTCAACTTACTTCGATTACCATATTAAAGATCTAATGACATGATCAAGTAAAGACGTGCGAAACTAAATTGCATGAATAAAGGTTCGATTGTAAAGACATGTAAAACTGCAAGAAACAAGTAAATAACTTTGAAGTATAAAAGCATGTAATGTAAAAGAGTTTCTGAAATGTAAAAGATTCGAAATAGAAAGAAAGCGTTTAAATGCAAGAAATCAGTAAATGACTTTGGATGAAAAGGTATTCGAATGACAAAAGCACGAAGATAAAAGCGTGAAATATACAAGAATTTCTGAAATGTAAAGTACTCAAAATAGAAGGAAAGACTTTCAAATGTAAGAAATCAGTAAATGACTTTGAATGAAAAGATTTTAATGTAAAGGCTTTTGAATGATATTGACATGAAGATAGAAGATAAACTGGAAATGATAAAGAGTTTTACTGAATCATAAATATTTGGTGTTATCATACGTACATTGTTCGAGCATTCGTTTCCCTAGCCATGTGGTATTTTGAATGTTTACTGAATTTTGTACAATAGATATGACACACGAAATCCTAACGCTAAGACTTCTATTTATACTACTTCGACCATAACGGTCTTGCCTATAAAATTCTGCCACGTTCAGAACATGCAGAACACTGCCCCTCTCTAGCTTCCACGCGTCTTCGAATGCTCCAGCGCATATATTTTAAATTTCGAACATCCCGCTTGCATTTGAATTTCAAATGTTTTGGCACTCTTCGCTTCGAACTCATTTCTTGAACACATCCTTGTTACCACTTCGAGACTTCTTTTGAATATATCCCCATAACTGCCACTCGAAGCTCCGAGCTTTGACATGTCCATTCGAAGCATTGCTTCTACCATTTCGAACCATGACATCTTGCTTTATTCCAACGAAACATCCAACTTGCTTCGCTTCGAACAATATCACCAAAATCTTCAGCCAACAGAAGGTTAGTGAAGAGAAAAGAGAGTGTCTTGTTCTCACCATTCCTAAGTGCATGTTGTCGAGTCTTGGCGTGACTGGAGTAATCACTTGTTGATCAACCATCACAAGGAGGCCCAACATTACTTCTAAGTTTACATTTATTTTTCATTATTTGTTTAAGAATGTTTCCTTTAAGAACTAGTTCTCGAGTTTGTAATCAGCTCTTCATGAGATAAAACTTTTGTTTGTTGAACAATGGGAAATTAATATTATGTTGTTATTTTGTTAAGGGATGTGTTGTTAAGTGCCTTATTTTATTATGTGTTAATCTTTTATAAATTTGATTCTTTGATTAATCAACTTAGAAATTGATGAAAGTTTGTTGTTATGAGAGATCCAATAACAAGTAGATTTCATAATAGAAGTAGTTGAAAAGAGTAGGATAAAAATATTCACTTCATTAGTTCACTTAGAAATAGATGAAAGTTTGTTGTTATGAGAGATCCAATAACAAGTAGATTTCATAATAGAAGTAGTTGAAAAGAGTAGGATAAAAATATTCACTTGATTAGTTCACTTAGAAATAATGAACTACAACTATAATGAATTTTCGGAATATATACAAACATGTTTTAGGATTATAAGTGTGACTTAGAGATTTGTTTCCTAGTATATAAATACATGCTTTTGATGTTGTAGAAATACACACATAGATAACTTTCTGACTTTTCCTGGCAGAACACTACACATCATGAACACATAATTTCTTCACCAATATTAATGGATCATAACTCAACTTACACTTTCTTGATATATTCACAACACTCATTTTACACGGTTTAGATATTGTTTAAGAAAAAAATTGAACTTGTGACTCTCATATATTCTTTTATCCTTGCTCCTACTTAAATCTAAGAGATAGTTTCTTACAAAGTCAATCTAAGCAACTTTAACCACACGTGGGTACGACATTCTTACTTTTTATCACTTGCTACTTTTAAATATACTTTTTATCATTGCTCGTGCATGTGACACGTTTTTAAGCTACAATGGTGGTTTTGCGAGGACATGGCTCTAGGCTATCATCTTCTTGTTGGATGCTTTGATTTTTTCCACTTTGTATTCATGATTATTTGGCTGGTTTTATCTGTTTGTTTAATGAATTCATTTTTTGTGATTGTTTTGTTGTTATTCGTTGTTGTTTTTTCCAGTATCAGTTTGATACACTTTGTGTTGGCTGTCGTTTTCTATATTTTGGTGGACCTTTAATTGTCTTTATAACATATGTTATCTGCAGTCTTATTTATAAGAGAAAATTGACTTTTTAAATTCATTGAATAATCAATATATCTCGTCTATGATATAGTTCAAATACATTAATTATTCAATTAACATAAAAAAATTCTCTTATAAATAAAATTAGATATAATATTATTTTTGACGTAAAATAACTATATGATATTGACATACTATTTTTTGTTACTATAATTTTTCTTTAACAAAAAATTTCTAATTTGTATTCCGCTAAGATAACACAATTCGTAGTTATATATGAGCATCAAATACAAGAGCGTGAATTCAATTTCATTACATTTCACTTATTTATTTTTAATTAAGTGAACTTTAATCCGTGATTAATGATGTTTGTCCACAAAAATATTGTTTTGAAAAATTTATGTGACCATTTTAATTAGTATACTTTTTAACCACCTGCCACTGTAACACAATTCTATATTTATTGGTTAAAGTAGAATTAAACTAAATTCCTTTAATAAAATATCATACTTAAGTACTTTATATGGAAAAATGTAATTGAAAAAATAAACTTTATTAAAATGACTAAAAATACAATCTTGTTAGCTATTATAAAGAAAAAATATTTAACTTATTAATTTTATTACAAAAACATATATAATTATGCTCTATCACAATTTTATATATATATATATATATATATATATATATATATATATATATATATATATATATATATATATATATATATATATATATATATATATATATATATATATATATATATATATATATATATATATATATATATATATATATGAGCTTAATGCAATAGTAAGATCCGCCGCTTTATGCATCTCTATAAAAAAACAAAATCTAAGTGAAACTACTCTCTCCCATATTCCATTGATACCAAAATGGATCGACCCGGATTCATAATCGAACCCGCCGAAGCCAAATCCATGGCTGAAGCTTCCTCTCTCACTCTCACCCAACTCCTCCCTTCCCTCATCACCTCCGCCCAAACCCTTGCCCGCCCACCCATCTCCAACTTCCGCGTCGCGGCTGTCGGGCTATCCCAATCGGGTCGGATCTTAATCGGAGTCAACGTCGAATTCCCTTGTCTCCCTCTTCATCACTCCATCCACGCCGAACAATTTCTCCTCACAAATCTCTCTCTCAACAATGAAGCCAATCTCCAGTCCTTCGCCGTCTCCGCCGCACCCTGTGGCCACTGCCGACAGTTCCTCCAAGAACTCCGCGGAGCACCCGACATTCAAATCATCGTAACCTCGGAACCCAACCCGAAACCCACTTCGCTCTCTCGATTTCTCCCACACAGATTCGGTCCACACGATCTTCTCCCTCAACAAACTCCACTTTTCTTGGAACCACGTAACAACAGGTTAACACTACCCAATGGTGTTTGCAACGGTGAAACGCTTGATACGAAGTTAAAGATTGCAGCCTTGGAGGCTGCGAATAAATCACACGCCCCTTATAGTGATTCACCATCTGGGGTGGCTATTGTGGATTGTTATAGAAAAATCTATAAAGGTTCTTATGTTGAGTCTGCGGCGTTTAATCCTAGTTTGGGTCCTCTTCAGGCTGCGGTGGTGGTGTTTATTGCCGGAGGTGGAGGTGAGTATGATGAGATAGTGGGTGCTGTGTTGGTGGAGAAGGACGGAGCTGTGGTGAGACAAGAGGGAACTGTTAGGTTGTTGCTGAATGCTATTTCTCCTAAGTGTGTGTTGCAGACTTTTCTATGTTCCGTTGATCAGTCTTCGGTTTGATTGTAACAATCAAATTCGGGAACACCTGTACACTAAAATTGCGACTGTGATAAAACTATGATCATTAGTGATACCCTTTCGTTTGTTCTGTCTTTGATGTTTTTGCTTTATTTGAAAAAAAAGTTTAGACAAGTTGGATCATGGAGTTCACTAGTTTGAGACAAAACTCAAACCGCTTCTATGAGGTACATATTATCTAGGTCTTCACGACAAGATTCAAACATCGGCTCTCTCTCTTTTATTTTGTTACAATCAACACGTTTAATCATTCATTTGTGTGTTATTGTGTTTATTCAGAGCTCTACACAAATAATGCTTATTGTTTTTAACTTTTAGTTTTATAATATTGTCTTCAATTTAATATGATTAATTTGCAATTGTGTTGTTAAAATTATTATTTGGGTAAAGCTAATGCTATAGTAGATGTTTTGAGTAGGAAATGTTTGTATATGTGGGTGTTTATAGTTCGAGAATTGGATTTGATTGAATAGTTCGGAGAACTCAATATCAATTCTCCAAGTACTACATCAATGAGAGCTTTACCTGTTTCTAAGAATAGTCTTCGTAGCAATCATGGTGTTTTGGAATCTCCAAGCATGTCAAGAATTACGAAATCAGCAGGAAACAATAGTCCATCAACTTTAACAAGGACATATTCAAGCACTCCATATGGATATGTAATTGATCGATCAGTTAGTTTCAAGGTCATATGTGTTGGCTTTGGTTTGCCACAGTTCAACTTTCTCATCATGGATAATGACATCAAATTGGTGTTAACTCCTAAATCACATAATGCATGATTTATGGTTAGTGAACCAATGAAACAAGGAATAGTAAACCTATATGAATAAGTGAATTTTGGTTGAAGCTTCCTCTTGATGATTACGCTGCACTCTTCTGCTAAAGCTATGTTTCCATCATGCTTCAACTTCCATTTTTCCAATAAGAGTTTTTTCATGAACTTCACATAAGCAGACATTTGTTCAAGGGCTTCACAAAATGGAATGGTGTCATGTATTTATTCAACATCCCCATAAACTTTTTAAATTGACTCACTTTCTTCTCCTTTTTAGGTGTCTTCTTTAAAATCGAATAAGGTGGTTTGATGTAATCAAATAGCTCCAGATTTGGTTCAGTCAAGATTTGTTTCTTGGTTCTTTTAAAGGGTGAATTTTTGTCAATGAATTGGTTAAGGTTGTACCCTTTAACTTCATCCTCACTCTTATGTTCACTTTTTTCTCCCTAAGAATTTTTCTCAACCTCATTCTCCATTACCACTTCTTTTCCTTTTGTATTCTCAACTTCAATCGATCATTTCTTCTCATTACCATTGATTGGTTCATAAGGCAACACTCTATTTCTCAACTCGATGGCCTTGCACATTTCATTTTTCGAGTTATCTTACAGTATTTCCTATAAATCCCTCACTTAAACTAGCTTGACCTGCCATTTGTCAAGACAATTGACCGACTTGCGTCTCTAAGTTCTTTATGGATGCTTCAGTATTTTTGTTCATTAATATATGATTTTGTGTCGTCTCTTGTTGGGTTTTAGCCATGTTATATTGAGCTTTGCTTACTTGCTTGAAACTCATTTGAGTAGCCTTCATGAAATTTGACAATGTTTCTTCAAGAGGTGATGGTTTGTGTTGAGGTGCTTGAGGAACTTGTTGAACACCTTGGCTAGTATTTGAAGTCTGATTGTTGCTTCACTTGAAGTTTAGATGTTCTTTCCAACATGAATTGTAGGTGTTGGAATAAGGATTATTCTTTTGAAAATTAGCATATTGAACTTCAACACTCTCAACCTCTATTATATTGTTACCATTTGCATGTTCTCCTCCACAAAAATCACAACCAAGCGTATGAATTTGGCTAACATTTGCTTGGACTAGTTGTGATGCGGCTAATTGTTTAGTAATTGCTTCTATCTGAGCGGCTAAAGTTGTGGTCGAATCAACTGCATGAATACCTTTTTGTTTCATTACTCGCTCACTTGAGTAGTACTCATTCTGACACATATTCTCAATCAATAGTTTTAACTCTTCATCGGTCTTTAATCTCAATGTACCTCCAATTGAGGCATCGAGAAGCATCCTCGTTTGTGTTCTCAACCCGTAGATAAAGTGTGTCATTTGTTCTATAACACATGTAGTGATTCAGACACTTCGGAGTAGCAACTCGAATCTTTCCCATGCATCAGATAGTGACACTGACTCTTCTTGAGCAAAGCTAGTAATTGCAGCTTTTCTTTCCACGAACTGAGCATTTGAGTAATATCGCTCTAGGAACTTATCCTCTAACTTTTTCCAAGTCTGAATAGTGTCATTTGGAACGCATTGAAACCAATTCTTCATACAACCTATCAAAGAAAAACCAAACAAACATAATTTTATCTAATTGTTGGAGATATCACTAACTTCTTACACATCGAGCAAGTCTCGTAGAATTTATTGAGACCCCCCCCCCCCCCCCCCCCCCGCCCCTCAAGGATCTTTGATTTCTTTCCCCTCAAACACGTTCTCCTTCAAACCTTTAAGTACATAGTTTTTAATGTCAAAGGTTACCGGATTAGCCGATTGAAATCCTAAACAAATTTGTCTTGAATCAGTCCTCCTGCAATAGTCCTCCAATATTTGACGTGGTGGAACGACCATCCCTACTTTCTCTTCATGTACTTCTTTGATAACTTAAAGTGTCTCTCTTTTCGCTTTGCAAAGTGTGTGCATTGTTCTTTCGATTTCAATCGGTATCAGCATCAAATTGGTACCTCACATAAACAATCAAGAAATATCTTAGTAGCACTGCATCAAATAGAATAAAACAAAAGTAGAAATAAAATTAATAATAAAAATAAAATAGAAATTGCAAAAATTAAAAACTAAAAACTAAAAATAAAATTAAAAATTAAAAGTGTCACCCTAAATTACCTTGTTGAAATCAACAATCCCTGGGAACGATGTCAAAAACTTAATGACCTCTCAGAATATGTACCGATAACGTCGGAGTAATAATAAAAAGATTGTCTCCACGAGAATTGTAATTTAACAAGAAAATTATGTGAGAGTGTAAGTAATAAAAAGTGGTATTTGTTAGAAAATCGATTCTAAAATGAGAAATTAAAATAATGAAATGCAAAATTAGAAAGGCGGATAGGTATTTTTTTTTGGAGAAATATAAAAATATATTAAAACCAAAAAACTATAAGGTGCAAGGTGATCACCAAGGATCCAACCCTCCAAAAGACAAAAAACTCTCAACAATTACAATACCATCAACTCAACTAATTTCTTTCTAACTTTGGGTATACACCACCCCCTATAGACTAAATTGTCTATCATTATTCCCCTTATATCTTTGTCATTTACATGGATCCCAAAGCTCCTTTTGTTTCTATAACTCCATGCTTCATAGATTGTTTTAGCTATAACACTTCTAATTAACATAACTTTCCAACCTTGACCTCTTCCTTGTTTAATCACTCAATAAAGCTCCTCCTGCCACCCACCAGGCATATGAACGATATTCATCCATTTCAGCACATCAGTCCATATGTGTTGAAGCCCTACACATTGAAAAAACAAATGTTCCATAGTTTCTACTTAGCTGCAAAAAACACAACAGTTTGTAGACAACATCCCAAATCTATAGAGCCTTTCCTTAGTGGCCAACTTGTTATGGCAATTTAACCACAAAATGAAAATGGCTTTAGGCCTAGCAAAATTCCTATACATCAGATGCCTCCAAGTTACTTTAGGTTGATCCCATTTGATATGCTTATAGACTTTCTTGGTATAGAAGCTGTTACTCATAGTGTCACAATCATTCGTGCTATTCACTTTGTCCCTTTGTTTTAGAATGGCCTTGAACATCCACGACAAAGAAGGTTTTATGTAAATCAACATCAGCTGCTCTGACTTGATGTAGTAAGAGTGCATCCATTTTATCCAGAGGGACTCAACCTTCCCACTAAGATTCCATAGCAACTTAAGTAGAAAAACCTGACTCCACTCTTCCAGAGATACAACATTAAGTCCCCCTTGATCTTTAGGTGTGCACACTTGTGACCAAGCCATAAGATATTTCCTAGAAGCTCCATCCCTACCACTCCAGAGAAAAGCACGACAGATTGAATCAATTTTCTTTACCACTTTCATAGGCATGGGAAGGCACTGAACCCAGTACTGTGTCATAGATCTGGCCGCACTATTAATGAGTTGCAGCCTTCCAGAATAGCTCAGGAACTTGGAGCTCTAATGGTCGATTCGAGCAACTATCCTGTCAACCAAGCACATGTAGTGTTGAACTCCAAGCCTTCTGCTTGAGAGGGGAATACCCAAATATCTAAAAGGAAGAACTCCTTCAGGGAAAGTTGTTATCCTTTTAATTTTCTGCTTAATGTTATCATCAACAGCACCCAAATACACTATGCATTTCATAGGACTAACCTTCAGGCCAGTAGTCCTAGAAAACTCCTGCATTTTGTCCATGGCCAACTTAACAGAGATATAGTTTCCCCTTGTGAATATCAACAAATCATCAGCATAATTGAGGTTGATGATCTTTTTTCTTTCACACTTAGCATGAAAATTAAAATCAGGAATTTTATGCAGCTTCTGCAAACATCTATTTAGATATTCCATCACAATGACAAAGAGCAAGGGGGAGATGGGATCCCCTTGCGTAAGTCCTATTTTGGCTTGCATAATGGAAGTAACCTCCCCTGCAATGTTGAATCTATAGGAAACATAGGTGACATCTCTCATAATCCAGAGCCTGAATCTGTTGGGTATGCCAATCTCCTGTAGAATATGTTCAAGAGCATGCAAATCCAGAGTTTCATAGGCCTTTTGGATGTCAAGTTGAAGCATGCATCTAGGTGTTCCATTAGCCCTGTTGTATCCCCTTATCAATTCATAAGCCAACATGATATGGTCATGAATTTTCTGGCCAGGAATGAAAGTTGCCTGGTTAGGATGGATAATGCTATTCATAATGCAG